AAGTTTTATTGATCTAGCGCTGTTATTTAAAAGACAGGTATTAAAATCACCCATAATAATACTGTGACAATAGATATGTGTAAGATTGTCAAGAATATTTTCTAACGTGGTGAAGTAGTCGACAGTGAGAGAGAGACTGTAAAAAACTCCGAGAAGTAATTTTGTATGACGAAGATGAACTTAGATAAAGAGAATTGTGTAAGCACAAGATATTTCTGTCATCGAGACGAATTATTTATTAAAGTTAAAAAAAAGTTACAGCCTTTATACAGCCTACTACTGGATACAGGCTTCCTCTCATTTTTGAGAGGATTTTAGGGCAAGGAAATGTCCGCCGTGCTACCCCAATTCGTCTTCGAAAAAAGTTTCTTCTCATTTTCAGATATCCAGGTTTCTTCGCGATGTTTTCCTTCACCACCGAGTACGTAGTAAATCAGTTGTAGTAGCTCACGTGCTAAGCGGTCGCTGTGAACTTCATAGTACGCGAGCAACGTGGGTTTGATATCTTGCCGGCACCAATGATCTGTTCGTAGCTTTGTGAAAATCGTTAGCAACAAAAATGTGAAAGACTTTTAAGTTAAAAATTTTAATTTTAAAATAGAGGTAGAAAATGTATATAAAAAGTGCTCGTATGACATTAATTCTATATTTAATTTCACATCTAAAGTGCCAACTCAAAAGAGTTATCTAATGGAATATTTTTGCACAAGAATTATAATTTAAGATTTATTTCACTGCACTTGTTTTTCATTCATTAAACAACGGGAACCTGAGCGAAATTCCAGAGAAATTAAAGAGAAGCCTGAAGAGGATTATATAAGTTTTTATTAAAATATGGAGACGACATTTACTTTCAACAAATACTAAATTAGTTTTCATAAAATAATAAAGTAACAAACGAACTTGTCATCCACCTGATGGTAAGTGACTAGTACCATTGATAGCTACAACCAACTTCACACATAGATGGCTACACACGTGTTGGCACTGCTACGGACTGAGATGGAATGTCCTGCAGCCTGTCCTTCAGAGCGGAACACGGCAGAGCACGCGCTGCTGTTTAGCTGCAGATATGAGTAAGAGGGTGGTATCTATGCAGATGAATATTTAAAACAGGAAAAGAGATCTTTCAAGTAGGAAAACAGAAAAGATTCTGGCTGAGTAATCATAATAATTAAAAGCTACTACGAGAGAGCTTCAGTGTTTTGAAGTTTTAATGACAGCTTTTTCTATGATATTTCTTTAAAACTCACCATTCATATCTTGGAACCTTTTTATATTTCGAGTTTTTAAAACATGTTAAATTATTTGTAAAAGCACAGTTTTGTTTAGCGAAAGGATAATTATGCTAAAGCCGCTTACATTTTTCTTTGCATTCGTTTCGGAAGTCAAAAGCTGAAGAAGGAAGAGGCGGACTTTGTTTATATAAATTCATTTCAATATTTTATAATGGGTGCCTTTATGAAAAATGTCGCTCAAGTAACGACAACTTGACTTTTTTTAATTAAAGATGTGCTCACTCATAGTTATGATCTGATGATCTACATAGCCCGTGGGCAAAGGTTAGGTCTACAAGTTTGCCCAGGAACAACTTGACTACCAAAACTACTTGATTTTTTTTAATTCATTCATAATTTTTTCAGAGTGGTGTAGATATAAGAAGCTCAGTCCCTTAAACGTAGTTTAAAGTTCTGACATTCACAATTGAACTTGTGTAGGGGCGGTGTAGGAATATCGCCTACCCCACATCGTTCCGTGGGTGTCGTAAGAAGCGACAGAGCGAGACAAACCATGAGATGGGCAGCAGTGTTTTTCTAAAAACTACTAAAATTTAAAAAACTACTGCATCCAACCCGTCTGCCAAGCGTGGCAACTATGGCGAATGTGCCTATGTACAGCTGTACACTTTTGATAGGCAGTATCGCGAGTAATTAATTGATACCTAGACTGAATGTATCAAATGACTTGTGAATGTAATATCTGTTAAAGCTCGTTGCATGAAACGGCATCGAACATTATTTTATTTAGGTACAAAATACCCAAAAATATTAATATAAAGACGAACCCAAAGCTTCCTCTAATAATTATTTTTTGTATAAGGTGGAAAGTCATTCTAAATTACTCAACATGAGATGGGGTTAGAAGTATATTACTTTTGATGCTCCGACTGTTAAGAATCGATCTCGTTTCCAGAACAGGAATTAACTCGTTGATTAATCGAATTCAAAGACTTTTTAAAATGGCCGAACCGATTTTAATAATTCATCTTTGTCAAATATATTATATATAATCTCAAGGGTAGATAGATAGATATATAGATAGAGGATAAATAGAGACTAAAATAGATTAAAAGAGGATGAAATTTTAGTTGTAACTATTTACGCGACGTTCTAGTCGTTACTCGAGCTTGCGTTATTTATTGCTTAGTCAAATTAAAAGGGTAAGAACATTAAAGTTTGAACAAAAAGTAACAATCTATTTCACAAACTCAGAATATAATAATTTTCATTGAATAGCCTCTGAAGTCGGGGGGAAATATCACGACTAAGAATCGATTACAGATTCAGATCCAGGAAATTATTTAATTCCTTTTTATTATTGAAGTTGCATTTAACTTTAAGTTATTTTTAAGCTATTGCATAGCTTCTATCGCGGGCCTTGAGCGCGGGGACCGAATCCAGAAATTCTGTAACGAAAAAAACCTCACGCTCCCCACTCCGACGGGCACGGAGGTGTGGCGTTGAAAGCCGTGCATCGTCTAACGTCGTTTCAGTTCGGCAGACTTCGGCACTCGGCAGACTTCGGCACGGTGTTTGTGTGCGTGCGACTAGACGTATGCGTGTACACTAGCTGCTAACTCAATGATAAAAATTCATGAATTACCTACATGAATTGTAAGATATTAAAAATATTTTAAACAATATTAATAACTTCTCGTTTATTCAATAAGAGAAAAAAAAATTGTTTTCTTATCGGTCACCACGCTCAAAAAGTGTAACTTGATTTAATATCAAAGACTTAACTGCATAAATAAAATAAATAAATAATTAAAATTGCATAAGTGGATAAAAAATGCTATGCAATAACTTTACCGCGGCAGTCACCGAGTGCCACACGTATTTATATATTTTTATTCTTATTTAGCTTAAAGTTTCGTATTAAGTTATTTTAATATTTTAATTATTTTTATGTATTTTATTAATAATAATTTGTGTTTACGTTGTTGCCTAAATAACAAACAAATGTGTTTTTGTTTTCCTTCTTTCATTCAATCAACCCATTATTATACCCAAATTAGGTTTTTTGTATACATTTAGCCACTGCGCTATCAAATCGTCAAATTACAAAATTTATAAACTCAATGGATTCATTTAAATGATCGTATAGTCATGTGTAAAGATGTGTCATGCTTAGGGTTGCCAACTTTTTTTGACATAAAAAACGTATAAAATGGTTTGTATAGGAAAAAAATAAAGTATTAGGAAGAAAAAAGCAATAAAAACATAAAATTTGAAAAATACTTCAAATTTTATGTTTTTATTGCTTTAAACACGTATTTTTGTGTGCTTTTAGCACATGCTAACAATTTTTTGTTGTCTTTAAATGTTACAAAGCTTGTTTGACAATCAAGGTTTAAATTTAAGTAAATAAACAATTCGTTTTTAATTAAATTTATTGATGCTCTATTTCTCTCTTCTCGCCACTTTAGATTCATTATAGAAAAAACTCTTTCAGTGAAAGCTGAAGTGGCAGGAATGGAGAGTAGGCAAAAAATAATTTTTTTTATATTTGGTAAGCTATCAGTTGCATTTTTAAGTACATATTGCCATTTTTCTACTGTACTTTTCACTGAAAATTCTTTATCATCATTAGTGAATTTTCTTTGGATAAGTCTTATAGATTCGGAATACACATCGTCAAACTTAATATTTAATCTGTCTTGTAATTTGGCCTTTGTAATTACCATTTCAAACTGTTCTAATTTTACCTCATTATTCAAAGACATGTTAGGAAGTATTGAAAGCAAGTTATCTTCGCTAAAATCAAACCATTTTATCATATAACTTAAGCTCATATCAATAAAAAAGTGAAAAGTTACTGATAACTGTATTGAATGTTTCGGGTGATGACTTTTGAATTTTTTGTAATCTCATTTTTGATTCATAACCAAAGTACTTATCAGTTTTTCTTTGTTCTAATTCATTTCTTAAATTATCCATAATATTATAGACATCTAGTATAGTTACATCATTTCCTTCCAGACATTTTATCGTTTTATTAAATATATTAAGCATGTGGCTTGTAAAGTGTAGATAAATTTCCACAACTTCCCTATCCTGTTGATCCCTTAGTTTTAATAATTCTTGTGTAATTATTGCACAATTATCACCTAAACTTATAAAATAATTACATATTGGTACCCAATTCAGTATAAGGGTGTCAACGGCTGGAAGTAGTGATAACCACCGTGTACCAATATGACGTTTGATTTCATGAAATTCGCCATCAACCATAGTAACATATTTTTTTAAATCATCTCGTCTACAAGCAGATACCGAAAAATGACTGTATATTTTTAAAACAATATTCTCTATGTCACAAATCAAGTAGCCCATAGCATGTTTTACTGTATTATGGATAATGTGTGCATGAAAGTTGCCTTTTATTAGGTTTGGTACTTCTTTTTTTAATATTTGTGTACAATGAGTGATGAATGCCAAAATTAGCATTGCAATTGTCTGCACTGAGACCTGATACTTGATTGAATGACAGGTTGTGGGAATCCATAGACTTCTTCATAGCTTCTAACATGCCATCAGCAGACTCATTAGAATTTTCTTAAAAATCGATCAGTTTATTTTGGATCCCTTCATTTATTGAAAAATATTGCACTACGAGAGGAAATAACCTAATATTCTTTTTATTTGATGCATCTGTCTGGAGACAGAAAAATACATCATCATGTAAATCGTTTATAACACTTTCCACAGAATATGGATCTAACACTTCGTCACTAAAGCTTCCATTTTAGTTCTTGCCAAGCGTATTTTACTAGCTATTTTGGAATCTACAAATACAATTTTGTTTAATTTATTTAGGCAATCCATGCTATTATAAGATAAATTATGCTTTACAATGTGAAAAGTCAATGCTAATTCCGCTGCTATAATATTCTCATCATCACTAGATCCTTGACATCTTGATTTAGTATCTGATGTAAGGAAATTTTGTAATGCACCAGATGTTTTCTTCATTTCAGTTTTCATCTTATGCTTCTGATTATTTTGATGTTGCTTAATCTATAGAAAGAAAGAAACAAAAACTGAAACCACCATCATATTAAACCATCACCATTTTCAAAATAATACTGAATCATGAATTCTTCAAATATTCTTCAATTGAATGACAAATATTATCTATCAATATAATTTTATCCAAAAACAATTATGTGAATGAGAATATAAACATTACAGAATTGTGACAATTAGTATGAAAAATATATTTTTTTTTAATATTATTATAATAACAAGTAACAAGATTATTTTTAAAATTACTCATAGAGTTTGAAACATTGAAACTAATTTCTCTTGCTCATGCTTAAAAAATAGTGTATAAATTGTCAATGCAAACTAAATTTCAAATATGCATGCAACTGTTTTTAAAACTTTTCAATACAAAGTCCTGCCATATACAAACTGGTGACTTTTTTTGTAAAGATGTAAAGAAAACTAATGAATTGGGTTAGGTAAGTAAGTTAAAAAATGTAAATAAAATAACTATACGAAAGGAGAAGCAACGTAGCTTTAACAATATTTGCACACATTAATAAATTTTCATACCTGTCCAATGCCAGCTGAACTGATTGTAAAATTCACGCCGCAGGTAATACATTTTGCATTACTTTTATTTTGAGGATCACTTGTTATCCAGTTGTATTGTTTTTCCCACTCAGGTTTATATTTTTGTAAAACTTTGGTTGTTTTAGCTTTTTTAGGAGTCACTGGTGTGTCGCTATCAGAATTACTCGTCATTTGCATTAATATTTACTTTAAAATGCATTCTTCACTTATAAACAAAACTAACGGAACAGTTTTGTACAATTTCGTCGACAGTGAGAGACATCTGTGACAAACGTCACAACTGACATCTGACATCTAATAGGCCTTTCCGATTCACGCCAACAGCGCTGTCAGCGCAAATAATCCGTTCCGAATCAACCGTTAAACGCGCTGATGACAACGCTAACGCTGCCCATGGTCGCGAGTGTAATCACTGTTGGCGCTGTTGGCGTGAATCGGAAAGATAGGTAACATTTCGTTCAGCAATTATATTATAAATAATGGTACATACTTAACGATTTATAAATAATTATAAACCGTTAAGTACCCATTATGAGTATGTTTTACGCATCACAGTAAAGGTTGAAAATAAAGTATTTTTGCATACTTTATTTGTATGTAAATGTATAAAGTATAATTACCAAAAATAAAGTAGAATACGTTATTATAAAGTATGTTTGGCAAGCCTAGTCATGCTGTTGTGTTTTAGTAATTCTCCTGGTTTGAAAGTTCTAACTTTTCAACGCTAGATGGCAGTAACAGTTCATTAGTGTCAAGGTTGCCATTTCGTAATTTTAAATTGTCGTGTTTTGGGATCTGGATCGCCGTGTTTTGGAATAAATTGCCGTGTAAATTTCTATTTATTTTAAATTAACACGTAAGATTAAACATGAAATAAAAACATTACTCTTTACAGTCATCATACAAATTTCGTATCGTATCCTAAAACTTCTTCTTCGTCATTGTTCAATTTATATTTATTATTTTCCTTCATATTGTCTGTCATTTGTTTTGTGGTTTGAAATTTATACAATTTCCTTGGGATCAGATAAAGTGCTTAGCTAATAAAGTTAAATAAAGTAAATAAACATCAATATGTCTTTTAACGTACTTTTCAAAAAACGAAAGAATGAAATAAATACAATAAACAATGAAGTGTGCACGAATGTATGTCGAATTTGCGTCGAGATTTCTATGCCCATAGAGTCTTGACTACGTCTAGTGTAGTCTAGTTATGTGCGTCTTATCGACCGATAAAATTTTCGAAAAAATCAGTAACCATCGGATTGCCGTGTTTTAGAACACGGCAATTAATATGCTGCCGTGTACCGTGTTTTATTGCTGAAAAGACCCAAATTGCCGTGTAACACGGCAATCGCCGTGTAAATGGTAACGCTCATTAGTGTGTTGAAGCGAGATTAACGCCATAACACTCCAATCCACTTACTTAAATTAAGGGGAATACTGGAATTTACAAAGAAAATGCATATATACGAGGTGTGTTTGTGAGGTAGAAAAAACAGTTAATCTTGCATTGTATTCATTTACTCTACACCATGCATGTACCCATTACACCCTATCTAAACTGCAGTCTAGAACTTAAGCCCTCTCCATAGATAACCTTATACCGGTGGGGAAGTGGATAAGCCATAGCTGCCTGCACATAGGGTAGTAGGTTATCTTACACCGCCAATAAATTGAACAAAAGGCTGACTTCTCGGCGTTCTCCACCAATCACCCCGGGCCGTGTGGAAATAATATGGTAGTGTGTAGACGTGTTACATAATTAGTAATTAGTAATTCGTGATTTACCATAAACTCGGAGGTAAAGTAAATAGTATGTGTGGACTAAAAAATATTTCGAAGTCATATCTGAAGTCTGCAAAATACACGTTAGTGCGGCGCGGCGGACTAATTATTCCGTAACCCTGTCAGGAATGAAAGAAGGTCTGTGCCCGGTAGTGTAACGTTTATGGGCTGCCATTAACTTGTACTTTTCCACTTTACCGTATTTCTAATAAGGTCGCTCAGAATATTCTTATGGCATGATTTCTTATCATGAAGGATTTAGCAAGGGTTAATCGTACTCAGATGAACTTTCGGCATCGGTTATATACCAGAGTACCGCTTATAAATCAGCTGAGGCAGCATTCTGTAGTTGAAGTCGATGTGGTGAAAATAATATGCAGCGTGGCTTTACTGCGGCACAGCATCCTGGGCCACAGCATCCATTTACCATCAGGTGAAAAGTAGAACACGTTTGTCAACTAAATAAATGTAACAACTGGATAAAGGGATTCTCCCGATGCGGTGTTAGAATTTGCTTTAAGAGAATATTTAGACTGCAAGGCATTTCAATGCAGTACAACACTAGGCAACCAAGAGAGACAGCTCAGATTAATTTTACCTATAAAAAGTTTTTGACATTACCATTCAGTATCTCAATAAATTTTTTTGATAAGCAATGTAAGAAAGATTGTGGCTACGTCTGTAGGTTTTATTTTATTATTTTGTTCGTTGAAATTGTTTGCTGAATGTCTATACACAGTTTACTAACATGGCTGTATTCGTAAGTTTTTTAAAAAAAAATATTAAAAAAAAACACATTGGATCATGGTACTGCTAGATATATGTATCGTTGAACTATTAGCTATTTTGTGTCCAGGGAGAAAACAGAGGTCTTGGTATGGACTAAAAGCCGCGCGCCGTTACTATCTTAAGGCTTTTATCTACCGTAATACGTAGATATTCACTTTAATTAACATTAAAGATTAGTTGTTAACACGTGTTTTATTGTAATATAATTTATGTATACAAATATTGTAAACTTGACATTGTACTACTTAGAATAGGACAGTTAGAACTCCAGAACAGTGTCGGGCGAAGACTGTACCTAAGTGTCAATCTCTTCTTCTGCATGTCTACGTTTGTACCAATTTTAAGGGTACATTCAGCGGGAAAAGTCAAGAGACCTGAAATAAAATGAATGACTATAAAAATTTAGTAAAAACATTAAAATGACACATATAAAGAAGTTAATTTTCTTATAATAAGGTTGAAAAACATGTACACAGTCGACCTGATGGTAAATCAATGCATTAACAATTAAAATGCAGATGCGTTATCGCCCCTGAAGAGTAAGATGTAATACCTCGTTTACGGTAAAAAAAGAGATTCTGACTCTCTTCGCTCACCATACGAATCACAGCACCATTGAGCTGCTATTTTACTCAGGTATTCTGTGACAGCGTGGTCCCTTCCCCGGTTAAACCGACCCATTCGTGCTACAACTATATAACTGCAGCGTGACTCTACCAAGTATAACTTAAACTGGCTACTGAGCATGACGACTAAGGCAAGTTCTTCCAACAACGGGGGAGGCCCATGTCTTTGAAGCCATGACTCTTAGAAGCTGAAGAAGTAGAATATATTTCACATATTACAAACAACATATTGAGCTGTTATAGTACAAGGGTTGAGCGCTAGATATAAAATGCATATAACACAACGAAATCGAATTTCATCCCCGCTGTCACCAGGATTCTATTCACAGTAAGAGCGCTAATTTACCAAGTGCTACATGGTAGAACTCTTACTCATTTCTACCACCATGTAATAGTTGTGCGACCACTCCTCTCTTTAATTATAAGGGCTTCGTCTGTTGCAATTTCGCATAGGTTACAGTAGCAACCTAATCTTGTATAATGGAAAGTCTCGTAAGGTAACATCAATGTTGGAGTTATTTAATACATTTCAAGGACAGTTAAAGACTCCCAATTTGTAGAGAAGCAGCTAGGTGGATTGATTACTGCCTAGTAGTCAATTGAAAATGAGAAGAAGACTGAGCACAGCTGTGGGAAGTATGATAAGAGTCACTTTAATTTCACTTTGATTAATCTTAAGAACAATATTTAGATACTTTAAAATAATATTTACCAATTAAAAGGAAAATCAATTTTATGTGGTAATCATTTTTTAAATCTCTGGAACTAAATCGAAATCGAACAGGAATTAATTTATGCATAAGCATTCTAAAAGTAACATTCAGCAAAACGAAATGCGTACATGTAACGCATTTTCCAGGGGATTTTCCTTTTTAAATATAAATGATACCAGGATACGGATTTTATTTTTTTTCCATTTTTACGGTCTAAAACATTTTCATCTTTTATGTGAACTTACCTTATCTCATATCTTATACTATCTATATATTTGAAGTACGTATATTGGAATGGTGAACTTGAAACAACTATTTGCATAGATGGTGGATCTATTGAAAGACTAAGTTTTATAGCATACAATCCATCATTTGATGCTTATTTACAATTTGAAACACGAGCGTATAGTTTACCCAATTCGTTTCTTAGTTCGTTTGTGAGTCCGTTCGTTAATTAATTTACGAACCTGTTTGTGGGATCGTTTGTTAATTTGTATTATTGACTAATTTAATGAAATTTTTTTATACAGAAAGTTCAAAGAAATCATCGTCACATAATATCTAATTGCAGCAAAAGCATAATTACTGATTCCATGCGAAGGTGATCGAAGGTACAGCTAGTGAAATAAATATTGAAAAAAACTATAATGACACTAAAAATATTTTTAGAAGTATTAGTAAAATTATGAGGGAGGCTTTCGTTCAGCAGTAAACCTGTGCTGTAATGATAGTACTTATTATATTAAGTTATAAACGCCATAATGGTTACATAGTGCCGTCCACTATCTTCACATTCCTGTACCTTTATCTTAACATTATGTTTATTAGTATATAATATTTTTTTTAATTTAAATGACCCTGTCATATAAACCTTATTTATTTAATAGCTTCAGTTTTCTTTTCAAGTTTGCAAACTTATCAGCTTCGCTATGTTATATTAGGCAGAGGGGTTAAATATTATATATTCTAAAATAAAACCATCTTTTTTGTACATTTTCGTAGTTATAATAGTGGATGCATAAATCGAAGTAATTTAAGAAATATGCACTTACCAAAAACCAACAAAAATATTAAAGAAATATCGGATTTCATTTTGAGCTGAACGCGGACACGCAAACACTAGTACTGTGACCTAAGACCGCACTTCACTATTTAATCAAATTTATCTTTGTAACGTTTATTATATCGATTTCTCACCTGTGCCAACTTGCCAATATTTACTTGAATAATATTCTTTATGTATTAGGGAAAATGTTCTCCATCGCATCACCGACGTTTTAGTTTGTATAAACGAACAAATGTAAACCGAAACGCTTCATCGACTATCAAATGGCAACAACAGAATTATTAAAGGTACCTTCTGTTTTCTCGAGAACTCATATTCACTAATACTTAAAGATAAATATTACCATAAATAAGTCTTAATGTTAACCACTCAACGGTTTAATACCTCCTGGCGGCAACCATTTTGATCTGCTCGAATGGTTATATGCTCCCTGGACGCGAGCACGCAGCTGATTTAAAGATTTCATTTTCAAAATTTTTATTGTAATCTGCACATCCCATTCCAAATATATTTAAGGAATTACGGTCATGTTCACTACAATTTTGTCGCGTTATGTTAGTTTGAAATTCGTAGTGTTTGGAGTCGGTCGCGGCACTCGGGCCGGTAACGGTTTAAAGGTGATACAGTAGGACCTCTGTAATCCGAACCCCGTCTAATCCGAACACCTCTGTAATCCGAACGCCCCCCGCCCGCGCTTTTTCACTCCCCACAATTGCCGCGTCTGTGTCTCGCTAATTGCTTACCAAATGTCGAGTAGGTGTCACGCGCATTTGTTATTGTCCGCCATTTTGTGTTGATATTGCGTCGCTCGTGCATCTCGACAGTTATTTGTGTTTTTTAGCTATTGCATTTCTATCGCGGGCCTTGAGCGCGGGGACTGAATCCAGATATTCCGTAACGAAAAAAAACCTCACGCTCCCCACTCCGACGGTCACGTAGGTGTGGCGTTGAAAGCCGTGCATCGTCTAACGTCGTTTCAGTTCGGCAGACTTCGGCACTCGACAGACTTAGGCACGGTGTTTTGTGTGCGTGCGACTAGACGTATGCGTGTACACTAGCTGCTAAATCAATGATAAAAATTCCTGAATAACCTACATGTATTGTAAGATATTAAAAATATTTTAAACAATATTAACTTCTCATTTATTCAATACGAGAAAAAAATTGTTTTCTTATCGGTCACCACACTCAGAAAGTGTAACTTGATTTAATATCAAAGACTTAACAGCATAAATAAAATAAATAAATAATTATAATTGCATAAGTTGATAAAAAATGCTATGCAATAGCTTTACCGCGGCAGTCACCGAGTGCCACACGTATTTTTTTACATCATAATTTCGACGCCAAAGAAAAGGAAACACGTTAACCTGACTATTTCTCAAAAATGCGAGATCTTGGATCAAATCAAGGAAGGTATTTCTTTTAGTTTTCTTGCGCTGAAGTATGGTGTTGGCAAATCTACGATTTTTTATATTAAGAAGAAGGAAGAACAGATCCGACCTTACGTGGTGAGAACTGAAATGGGGCCAGGTGTTCGAAAGACTTTAAAAACGCCCGAAAATCCACAACTTGAAGATGCATTGTTTACGTGGTTTATAGAACAACGACGAAAGAACGTTCCCTTTTCAGGTGATATTTTGATGGAGAAGGCGAAATACTTTCATGAAAGGCTTGGGCGAGCAGATTTTTCTGCCAGTAAAGGTTGGTTGGAAAAATTCAAAAAAAGACACGGAATACGACAACTCAAAATAACCGGCGAGAAGTTGTGTAATAACGAAGACGCCGTAAAAAAATTCCAGGATAAATTCATGGACATAATCATGGAGAAAGATTTGTCCGCAGAGCAAATCTATAATGCAGATGAGTCTGGTTTGTATTGGATAACAATACCAGACAAAACACTGGCATCTAACTTAGAAGTTAGAGCCCCAGGTTCTAAAGTTTCCAAAGAAAGAATAACATTCATGCCCCGTGCGAATGCTGCTGGGACCCACAAACTGCCTTTTTTGGTCATTGGCAAAGCACAAAAGCAACGTGTTTTTGCATCTGTACGAAAGCTACCAGTACACTACATAGGGCAAAAGAATGCATGGGTGACGAGACCTATATTTCTAGAGTGGTTTAAAGGATACTTTATCCCTGAAGTAAAAAATTCTTATCTAAGAAGAATCTACCACTGAAAGCGATATTACTTCTTGATAATGCGCCGGCACATCCGCTTGATGAAGACCTGCAAACCATTGATGAAAATTTCACAATTTTATACATGCCTCCCAATTGCACAGCTCTCATCCAGCCAATGGACCAAAACGTTATTCAAAACATAAAGATGAATTACAAGAAAAAACTTTTTCTTCAAGTTTTTGCACAACAGGAATTGGAATCTGAACGTGCTGTATCCGATATCCTTAAGAAGACAACTATGAAAGAAGCTGTTTTCTCATTAGCTGAAAGTTGGAATCAGTTGAATGCTAACCTAATAAACAAATCTTGGTTACCCTTGTGGCCTCAATTAAACGTCGAAAAACATACAGACGATGACTTTGAACCCGAAGGTGAGGTTCGCTTAGCTTTTTTCGTTAATAGAGGCTTTTCTGAGGCTGCAATTAATGACTTCTTACTAGGCAATGATGACCTAAATGAAACTGAACCTCTTACTGACGATGAAATAATAAGGCAAGTAACGCAGGAATGTGACGGCGAAAGTGAAGAAATATCGCACGATGAACCAGTAGCAAGCATTTCCAATTCAAGCGCGGTGTCTGCCTTAAATACATGCCTTGAATGGGCTGACCAAGTGGACATTCCTTTGCCAGAAAAAATGCTTTTACGTAAATTGCGCGATAAAGCTTTTTATTTGTCATTAAATACCTCCCAACAAACTAAAATATTGGATTTCTTTAAAAAAAGTTTAATAAATATAACGTTTATAGATGAATATATATTTTAAATTTCACAATACTATTAGTTTTATTCCATAAAAAATAAATATATTTAAAAAATAATTACAAATTTTCGGGGTTCGGATAAATGGGTCTTGCTGTATGGGACCACACGAAAAGCACCAGCTTTTAAATAAAAAAAGAATCATGAAAATTGGTTTACGCATAGACAAGTTACGAGGTAACACATATAAAAAAACTTACAGTTGAATTGAATACCTCCTCCTTTTTGAAGTCGGTAGATATACAACTCCCAATTCAAGCCGCGACACAATCGTAAGCGGTTTGTGACACCTGTTATAAAGTCCAAAGTACGTATAGGGAAAATTTTGCAATTACATCGTATGACACATACATATCTAATTCAACATAATTTACAAAATGTTCTGTTAAGAATACAAGTGAAATTTATCTGAAAATTATAGTTTTAAACACCTTTAATTTATGTAGTTAGGATCGTTACAATGCATTGTTATAAAACATTTACATATATTATCGTGTACTTAAGTTATTTATAATAGTGGAAAACTCATTACTACTTTTAAGCTATTGCATAGCTTCTATCGCGGGCCTTGAGCGCGGGGACCGAATCCAGAAATTCCGTAACGAAAAAAACCTCACGCTCCCCACTCCGACGGGAACGGAGGTGTGGCGTTGAAAGCCGTGCATCGTCTAACGTCGTTTCAGTTCGGCAGACTTTGTAAGATATTAAAAATATTTTAAACAATATTAACTTCTCATTTATTCAATAGGAGAAAAAAATTGTTTTCTTACGGTCACCACGCTCAAAAAGTGTAACATGATTTAATATCAAAGACTTAACTGCATAAATAAAATAAACAAATAATTATAATTGCATAAGTTGATAAAAAATGCTATGCAATAGCTTTACCGCGGCAGTCACCGAGTGCCACACGTATTTTTTATTTCATGATTTCTAAGGAGTATGTTTATCTTAATTGAGACAGAAATTTATAAAAAAATACACTATTACACAGATGAATTTTGTTTAATAAAATATTTTTAAGTAAATAACGTAATTTTATGTTTCGTTGTCGAACAAAGAAAAAAAAATACTATTACATTATGATTGTTATTGTAAATTTCAATCAATGTTAATATGAAAAATCTTGAAAATGTGTTTATAATATTTGATTAATATTTTTTTTTTGTTTACGTGTGGTTGTGTGAATTGATTCTGTAGTTATTACATGTGTAACTTGTCATCATTGTAGTTACAGCCTATATACGTCCCACTGCTGGGCACAGACCTCCCCCTCATTCCTGAGAGGGTTTTAGGGCAAGGAAGTGTCCGCCGCGCCGCCTCAATGCGTGTTGGCGAACTTCACATGTCTTCGAAATATTTTTTTCTTATTACTCAGACATGCAGGTTTTCTCGCGATGTTTTCCTTCACCGCCGAGCACGTGGTAAATCAGCACTTAAAATTGCAATTAACAGTTACAATGGTGCAGGCGGGGATCGGCCCCGGGTTATTCACGTTCTGTTAATGTTTACAGCGAGCGTTAACCATCTGAGCTACCACGGCCCATTAATCAGATAATTTCATATCATTGATCAAATATGTGCGCAGGAATTGCACGCCTTAATTCTTCCCTCTCCTTTCCAACATCGGACGACCAGGCAGTCGTCGGGTCTTCACCCCTTTGTTGTCGATATTCTACGCATTAGAACCAAACGGTTTACTTCGACTTTTTAATGCGTAAAGCAGAGTAGTGGAATAATTTGCCGACGTCTATCTTTCCATCCGAATACAATCTGGGTGTTTTCAAAGCAAGAGTGAATGGGCATTTGTTACGTTAAGACAGTACGATTTACCATCTAAGACTGCATCACTACTTACCACCTGGTGGGATTGTGGTCAAGCACCGGCTTATAAAAAAAATATTATTATTATTATTATCTAGGCTATTAAAACGTCAAGTCAAGGGGATGCAACTTCTGTACGTAGTACTATTAGTTATTCTGCGACATTACGCATTATTATCTTTTTATTTCTGTTTTATTGCCCATAAAATTGAAACACCGCGCATTGAATGCAAAATAAAGACCGTTGAGCGGCCGCATTACAATTGTAAAGATGTCGTTTTTATTCTCCTATAACTCGGAAGAAAAGTTAATTTTCATATCTCCACGTTGTTGAGGTTATCGGTATCTTCATTAGCAAATTGTGAAGTATTCTATAAACTTTGTCAATTATATACTTTATAAATATAACATAATCAGAAGATTTAGCGTTAAATTCATTTTTATATTATGGAACTAGGTTGATAAACGAGCACAAAGTCCGCTGATGGTAATGGATACTGTGGCCCATAGGCATCTAAATGTATTTGTAATTATGAATCGAAATGCAGATGCGTTATCATTTCTCACCCATGAGGACTAAGATGGAATTCCTCGTTTACCACTACTCAACGACGTTTTTCCGAGAAATATTGGCACGAAAGACGTATAAAGCATCACTAGTGCCATCGTCTGCATAGCAATGAATGTTACCGGTTTGCAGCTGCCTTATGAGTTTATGAGTTAGTTAACTCTGAAGATTACAAGCTCAGCGTCCGCGACGGAAACCGTACTGGAGGTTACTAACCAGCAGATGATCCTCAAGGCACCGCATGAGCTGGCGGTTAATAACGATTATTTTAGAGAATAAGGAGGTGATGGCAATAGGTTACCTTTTTTAGGAATCGGGTGCACGGAAGCTATCTTCCATGATTTCAAGACTAAGCCTAGGGAGTGGGAGTACCGAAAAAGATGCGTTTACACCAGTGCCAACTCTGGCAGCACATATCTTCAGCACATTAGGAGGGCCATTGGACTTGTTGTCGTCCAGGAAGAGGAGTATTCTGGGCACTGAGCGTTGGATAAACAGTACATCCTGCATCGAGCACTCTCACCGCGGGATGTGTGACGGCATATTCCCCCGTCATCAAAAGTCGAGTTAAATACAAAGAGAGAGCCCAGCACATCGGTTACGTCCTCTGCGGCATGGGTCAGAATGTCATCCTCCCTGTGCACAGATGGGAAAAATCGCTGACAGAAATTCCCTTGCACAGGCTTGGCGAAAAACCAAAATGCACGTGTTCCCAAAAGAAGAGGAACTACTTTCTTGCCAATTATGTTTATATGCTCTGACTTTGCCTTTACAATGACACCTTTGAAGGACCCGGAGGCGGAATTATACTTCTTTTTTTTAAGAGCGCTGTTATTTACATTCCGAGACATTGATGCGCGAGCCCAGGCCTGGTAGCACTCTTGCTTACGGCGTAATGCAATTTTGTAGGAGCGACCAAACCATGGTTGGGTTCTGCCTTCGATAGGTACCACAGATGTTAGAATAAAAAGTTCCATTCCCTGTAGCACCACATCAGCGACTGAATCAGCAACGAAGCTGGGATCATCCGATGAGAAGCAGACCCGCCTCCGAGGGTAGGATGCAAAAAAAGATCGCGTCCCGTCCCAATCGGCCGACCTATAATGCCAAACCCAACCACGATGGGAGCGTAAATGGCACTGTACTCAGGATCAGACAGTGGTCCGAGGAGCCAAGAGGGGCGTCGACGGAGACCGGATATCCGTCCGGTTGAGAGGTTAGCAGAAGGTCCAACAGGGAAGGCACATGATCTTCCACATCTGGGATCCACGAAGTAACCAATTGTGTCAACCCATATGCCAAAGCAAAGACATTCGGCGTGTTAGGCGTAAATCACCTGTATCACGATCTCTGCAGATGGGGCCTATTGTAGCACGGAGTTTGCAGCCATTTGGACGTGGTTGATGAGTCGGTCTGTGTCGGCATTACCGCTATGGGACCTATAGAGGCACCCGCAGATGCGGGGATGGTGGTCACTGTCTACGTGCAACCGTAAGTTGGAAAAGTCCGTATGTTCAAGGCTTTCGAGGGGTTGAAAACAGTTGAAACTCCAGCCCGGGGCACAAAGGAGTGTTCTAATTTGTATCCCGGGTGGAAGAGATACGAAGTATCATCCGGAGAGGACATCTGTGGCTCGGTACGAAGGAGGCTGGTTTCGCCGTTTCCAGATGGTAGTGGACTGCGTTAAGATTTGAATGAAGTACCCTGATGTTGCAGAAATTCACGTATAGGGTGGCGGGGGCGCCTTTGACTTATTGCTCCTTTTGCCCCAGCGGGTTTAGTCTCGAGAAGAATTTCACCCCCCTTCCCATCCTAGAATACGCTGGGCAGCCTGAGCACCTATGCTCTGAAAGACTAGGGTAGCTTGGGCATGGATGTTCAGAGAGAGATTCTCCGTCATGGGGGATGCTGGTACCCTCCTGGGGTAGTGTTTTATTTAACTTCACTACCATGTTTAGGGAGGGGGGAATAGGGCCTCCGGCCACCTGCACTCGCTAGACGAAATGCCGGAGCAGAGCTTTTACTTCACGCTGGTTTTCTGTGAAGTTGTGGTACCACCCCGGTTCGAGCTGGCCCATACGTGCAAAGCAAAGCCTGCCGCGTGGCTCTAACACTATCAAAACCTATTAATTAGGTGTGGCCTTAGTCGATGTGTGAAGCATGTCATATGTAGAAATATCTATATGCTTGAAAGAAACATTCTATAGATTTTTATCACTATTTGCAATTGATATTAATTTCTGGAAGAAGTTCTTAGAAATGTCTGTTTGTTTCTAAAGCAAGTAATATACGACTTCGAGAGCTACGATTGGTTTTGAACGATGATTCTGAACAATCACTTATTTGAAATAGAACTTTATTACTTTGGTAATATCATTCGTACAAGTTGATACGATGAATTAGTTGTATTAAGGCAATGAAATGAGTTTACTGAGTGCGCTCTAGCATAATTACACAAAACAGGAACTTTGACGATCGTAGCTTCTGAACGTAGCTATAACTGTTCATATTAAGTCGAAGCATATTTTTTTTTCATTTTGATATGAAAATAAAAATGAAAAATAATTTATTTGATAGTTATCACTAACCAAATAATTCAGCAGTGGTTCCAC